GGCTCCGCCCCCTTCGCGTCAGTTCGCGGGGCCCCGCCCCCTCCACCGCCCCCCACCCGGCCCCCCCCCCCAGCCCGCCGGGCCCCGCCCTCGCCCGGCTCCGCCCCCCAGCCCGAGACCGCCAGCTCGCCAGGCCCCGCCCCCACCGACGCTCTCGCGGCACTTGTACGTCACCATCCTCAGGAGCGCGCGGCTGGAAGGGCTGACGGCCCCGTCACCGCATCTCCCGGCATGCCCCGCGCGGGGGCCGTAGAGCCACGACACCTGCCGGTGCGCACTGGCCACCCTAGCCCAACTAGCACGCGGCTGGGAGCCCCGCCGCGCTGCATGCTGGGAGTTGTAGTCCATGGCAGCTCCCCAGGGCAGAGGACAGAGCCAGGCCCAGCCCGTTCTGAGCCACCCCAGGAGGGGGTGGGGGCCAGGTGCAGCTCGGTGCCCGGCCAGGCGAGCGAGAGGCTGAGCCCTACCCATGGCCAGGGGCTAAGCCGGGCACAGGCAGAGGGGTGACGGGCCAGCCCAGGGCAGGCAGTTCCCAGGCTCTGCGGGCAGCAGCCCTCGAGGGTCAAACCTCACAGGCCCCAAGCCCTGCAGCTGGGAACACGCTGGGTGGGCCAGGGTCCTTGGGGCGGCCCCACGCGCTGCTGGCCAGCGAGCACCCCCCGCCCTACACCAGGGTCAACCCCCCCAGCACACACCGTGGAGGACAAACACAGGCTACACCAGCGGTTCCTTTGGACACATCTTTATTGTGTTTATGCATCAGCGCTGCCCCTTTGCCCCGCTCCTCAAGCCAGGGAGGGCCATCCACTGCTGCAGCACCCAGCTGCTGACTCCCTGCTCCCAAGCCCAACAGTGGGGCCTACCAGGGGGTGATAGACTCCTCAGGGTGCTGGAAGGCAGACCTGGAGTAGCCCCCACAGGTCCCACCTTGCTCAAGCGCTGGGGTTTAAGGCCCCTGCCCTGGGAGACGAGTCCCAGCCCATCACCTCCCTGAGATACCCCCAGCCACCCTAGGCCTACAGGCCCCCCGGCTCCACACCCTTCAAATACCTGCCCTTCGTCAACTGGGCCCCCTTAGGCCAGGCAGAACCCCCCACTCCAGCTGTCACACCCAGTGCTCCTGCATGCGGCCTGTACCGGTGGTTGGTGCTACCTCCTCCCAGTGCTGCAGCCCAGGGAAGCTCCACTATGATGAATCGCTGTAGGGTAGTAAAGTAAGCACAAGGCAGTGGACTGTGGGTAATGCTCAGCCGATCACCTTAGGGGCAGAGCTGAGGCTAGTCTCTGGAGCAGTCCTTATGTGGGTCCCTGGGGGGGAGCAGGATCTCTGCCTAGAAGAGGAGCAGAGCTGAGATGTGGGGAGGTGGGTGTGGCCCCCTTACCTGTGTCACTGCCCATGAGGCAAGCTGATCGGTGTGACCCAGAATCCTTTGCTCTGGAGGTTGTTCCTGGCCCTTGGCATAAGATACAAGGAAGCAGCTTGTCCTGTGTGGCCGGGTGCCCAGCCCAGGGGAGAGGCCTGGGCATTTCTCTTGCAAGCCCCCAGCTCCGCTCCCTGGGGCAGAGTAAGGACACACTGCCTTCCCCTAAGACAGGCTGGTTTTACCCAGCCCATTCTGCAGGCCACGCCCTGGTGTGGGAAAGGGGGGCACCAAGGAGCACGCTGCAGATGGAGTTACAGCCAGGCCTGCGCCACCAGGCCCTCCCCAGCTGGACTGACACATGGGGTGACCTCAGTTGCTCCATTGTGGGGAAGAAAGGAATCCCAAAGCCCCCAAGCAGAGCTCCCTGCCCCGGGGGTAGAGTGAGAACCAGGCCCTTTCCTGAACTAGCCACCATAGGAGGCTGGGGGGAGAGGGGAGGGAGGAAATGCCCCCTTGCTAACCCCACTGCATGGAGCCAAGCTTGGGGGGGCACAGACACAGCCCCACTAGGCGAGGGAGGGGCATCTCCCAGCTGGGGCTGCAGGGAGGGGGAGGGGACAAGAGTCCTGCAGCTGCACCCAGCCCACCCCCCACCCCCCCTTCCACCTCCAGGGCAGCCCCAGCTGGGAGATCAGCCCACCAGCCCCGTCCCTGCTCCTGGACCCCACCTCCCCCCCAAGATCCATCACAGCCTCTGCACCGCCCCTCTGGGAGCTGGGGCTGGGTGGTTCCCTGGCGCCGTTCCCAGCTGGAGACAGACAAGGAGAAGCTCCAGGGCTGGGGGACATCAATCACCTCCAGGGGACTGTCGGGCTGGGGGGGACGAGACGGCCAGTTACTGCTTGATCTGCCCCCCATCACCCTCGCTCACAAATCGCTTCCGGCCCCTTGGAGAGAGGAAAGACACGAATGTCAGTGAGCCAGGCCCAGACAACCCTGGGCTCTCCCCACACACAGCTCCGCCAGTGCCCCTCACTCCCGACCCACAGCTCTGCTGTGCCCCTCAATCCCAACCTGCAGCCCCCGCTACCTCAGCCCGGGGCTCCACACAGCTCTGCCAGTGCCCCTCAATCCTGACCCACAGCCCCTGCTACCCCAGCACTGGGCTTCCCCCCCACCTCCAACCCACAAGCTCCTTCTATCCCAGCCCTGGGCTCCTCTGCAGTTCTCCTGGTGCTCCTCAAACCTGACCCGTAGTCCCCCATGCTGCAGGTACCTGGCTGGGCAGGTGTCTCTCAGCTGCTTGGTGATGACTCCCTCCTCAAAGCAGAGATCCACCAGCCGCTCCAGGATACGGTGAGCGAGGGGCACATCCAGGCTGATGTCTCCGAGCTCGTCATAGACTCGCTGAAAGCCCTGGGGGATCAGAACTGGGATCAGAGCCAGGAATGCTGGGACAGAGCAGGGAGGGGCCGTGATACCCCAGGGAGACCTCGCGCCCTGGGCTGGGAATGGCAGCCTGTGCTGCAGTCAATCCTAGAGGCTGAATCTGCCCCCACAAGGGCCTCCTCACCTCTGCTGCAGCTGGCCAGTCTGCCAAGACTCCATGGCTGGCTCCCCCTCACTATTCATGGCACCAACCCAGCCCCTTGCTCTCCGGGCTCCTGTCCCAGCTCTAGCACTCACCCGGTTCATCTGGTCCAGGGTCACCAGGCCGGTCTCCCACAGCACCTTGAGCAGTTTTACCATCATGACGACGGGAGTCTCGCCTGTGGACTCCAGCACCATCACTACAGCCTGCGAGGATGGAGGAGGGGGCGTCAGCATGGGGTGGGCAGCACCAGCCACTGCTGGCATCACGGACACCCCCCAGGATCCAGGTAGCAAGCACAGCTCCCACGGCCGGGCCGCAGCAGCCACTGGGGGTGCCACGAGTACTGGCCCCGGCCAGCGCTGGCGATCACAGCACAGCCCCAAACAGACGCCCCAGGCCAGGCCTGCGCCCTACCTCATAGACCAGCTCATGATGGAAGTGAGGGACCTCCAGTTCCCGCAGGCAGTGCTCTGCCTCCGACACCTCCCCGGACAGCAGGTACTCGCGCAGCAGCAGGTTCATCTGTGGGGGACAGGTACTGAGGGCTCAGCACGGGGACGGGCAGGCGCCCGCCCAGGCCCCGTGCAGCCCCGGGGCCAAGCCGGCCAGCGAGGGGCACAAGGCGCTCACCTCTTTGATGAGATGCTTCACAGGCCTCTGGCCGCCCCCCACTCCCCACACGTTGTCCAACTGGTTCACGTCCCGCTTGATCCGGAGCAGCACTGCGGCGCGGTCCAAGGCAGCCCTGCAAGGAGGAGACAGTGAGGGGCAGGGGGCTCTCCCTGGAGATGCTGCCAGCTGCCGGCTGGAGGCAGAGCAGACCAGGCTGGTGCCAGGGCAGGGCGGGGGGAGGAGACTCTTACCGGGCGTGCTCGCAGTCCACGCGCCCCTTGTAGCGGTCCAGGAAGTCCAGGGGCAGCGCATGGTCAGCCACGGCCCGGGCAATGAACTGGCCCAGCATCTGCAGAGGCGCGAGCATGTGGTCAGGGCGCAGATGCCACCCAGGGGCCTGGCACAGCACCTCCTCTGCCTGGCAGGGCCAGGTCCTAGAGCCCCCACCCAACTCCTGATCACCACAGCATTCCCAGCCCC